CAGAATTCTGGGAGTTGAAGTCCACCCATCTTAAAGTTGCTGAGGTTGAGGAACCCTGCTCCAGAGGACCATTAGTATGAAATGGCCTACTTTGAAACATACTGCTTTCCTTTTCTTCTTCTCTCCTATGGACATGCCAGAGGCAATTGCCAGTTAACAAGCCATTGCCACAAAAACAGAAGCCATTGGGTGCCTGATTTGTGGGTAGATGTTTCATCTTTGAAAAATATTCCCAGACATATTGAGAAGAGGCTGCTTTCCCCGAGTGTGAAGTCTTCAAGCCGTTGAGAGAAGCTTACTCTTGTGAAAAAAAATCTCGAAGAAGAACAAACATGCCTCCCAATGACACAGGACCAGATCCAAAGAGTACAGCTCTGAGTGGTCTCCACAAAGGTTTAACAAGTCGCTGGGTGTCAGGTGGCATATAAATTTAAATACTAATTGTAGCAAGTAATTTTTTGGGGGTAACCTTCCTGAATTTCATAGGGGCATTTGTGGCCATAGCCATGCAGTTGAAGCCTTACCCCTTTCTTATGTGTGTTGAGACTCCCCTGAACCTTTGTAGCAAGTAATTTTTTGGGGGTAACCTTCCTGAATTTCATAGGGGCATTTGTGGCCATAGCCATGCAGTTGAAGCCTTACCCCTTTCTTATGTGTGTTGAGACTCCCCTGAACCTGATGCTCTGTAGATGTGTTGGACTTCAACTCCCAGAATTCCTTGCCAGCATGGCCAATGGTATGTTGCCTGACAATTCTGGGAGTCCAATATCTGGTTGGAGAACCCTACTTCGCATAAAGAGTTAACAAGGAAAAAAAGTAATAGAAAACAAAATCTCCACAGAGAAAGGCAAGATTGATTGGAAACCAACAAGATTATCTTGTTATTCCACCTCAGGAAGGAATTTGTGCTTTAATGGTTTAAACACAATGACTTTTGCATTTGCTTAATGAGGCAGGTCATTCTGTTCGGACAATTAGAGAGTGTTGTGCTCTGTCGGCGATCAGTCTTGCTCACTGAAAACTGTATTAGCTGGCAAAAATCTAAGCAAATCCCATTTCTAAGACAGGAATAACATAATTAATGAATTATTTTTTTTCTGCCTCAAAATATGTCAAACTACTTGCACATTATGTATAAATGAACAAATGCCTCCTCTTCAGGGCTACTGGCTCTCTGGACTAACCAACAGAAGCGAATATGTATAGCTCAGGGTTGAACTGTGGAGTCCTTGGGGTTCTCCAAGCTTGGTTCTT